TATATAAATAGTTTAATAATAAATATATAAAGTTTCTGATTAAATAACAAGCAGAATTATTCAAACACTTTTATGTTTCAGAAACCAAACTTCGCAGTTTCCTGAAATACAGTTTCTATGAAAAAGAGCTAATGATTTAAATAACAAATTCGGCACGTTGAAATGAGCAATGATTTATTAATTAATTTGGAATAAGTAGGTTAAATTATTTTCTGATATTTATTATAAACAGATGATGAAATGAAAATTTCTACTCCAGCTGAAGATATTTATTAGAAGTTGAAGAAAATTTGAGCGAGTTATTAGATTTGATATAGATGTACTCGTGATTTCAGATGCAATAACAAATTCATTGGATAGAAAGAAGATACATGTCGTATTGAGGTTTTGTAATATTCATTAATAGCGGAAGTACCTGATGCCAGTTAAATTAGATTGAGAGTAATATATCTAACAACAGAAAGAACGATACCGTTTTAATCCTTCTCTAATGACGTCACAAAAAATAAGATTCATAGTCATAAATTTTCCAGTTTGATGCAACATGGAACCCGCATAAAAATTTTGATAGAAAAATAAACTAATTCTCTCTCGTTATATCAGAAACAATGGCACGCAGTTTTTAAGATTTTTGTCTTTCTAACCAAATGGTCGTAAAAGTTCCAATTCCATCTAATATTTCACCTATATTCAATTTTAGTCAACTAAACGTGGCAAAAAATTGATCGTAACTGATCAAAAATCAATAATACGAACAAACACACAAACATACATTTTTCTTTATAACTATAAATTTTGTAAAACTTGAAATTTTTATTAATAATCCCTACAATTTGAAAGCGAGCAGTAGCAACACATTTTGAAATAAAGCATTTTTATCTCCAACGCACGAGACTGTTGCCATTCGGAAAAATTAGTGCAAAAATTAGCGCTTTCAGAGTTTTTAATTAATATTTCCGCTGATTTGAGTCGTACGACGATGGGAGCAGTCTAAATGGCTTTCCACGAGTTTTCGGAACCGGAAATAATGTATTTAATGTTTGGCAATGCTATTTTTATTTCATTGTAAAACTTAGAAGTTTTTTATTAGCAAACTCTACGATTTGAAAGCGAGCAATGACAACACTTCTCGAAATAAAGCATTTTTTCATCTCCAGTGTGAAGACCGTTGCCACTTGGAAAAGTGAGGGCAAAAATTAGCGTTTTTAGAGTTTTTAGTTAATGTTTTTGATTTTAGCAACGTTTTTTGGAAAAAAGTGGACGTTGGCCTTTTGCAGGGCCTAGAAAAGAATTATAGAAAGTTTGGTGACAATAGAAGTGACTGAGGTAATAGCGAACAAATACACAGACATTTTCCTTTATATACATATATTATATTTGTTTTTGTGACATGTCTTTTAAAAATATTTATAGTTGAAAAAAAAGCATTTTATTAAAACATGATGACTTTGCAACGCCTTTTAATCTTTAAACATATTATTAACCAAATATCTGTAACTACCTTTTTCAACTTGAAAGAAATGACTGTTATAAATTCGTGTGCAAAATTAAAAGAATTTGCAAATTATATCTATTTTTAGGAAAAGTATTGAATCAAATTATTCAGATACAAATTATGCAGATATTCAGAATCCAATACGTAAGCTTACGCGTGCATGTCCACGTAGCTGTCATAATAGTGCGCATAAAGCGCTTGAAGCATTTTCAGCGATTAATGCACTCGTACTTCTTTATGACATTCGCCGTGTTCCTTGGAAGAGTTGGGCAAATTTTATAAGTTATCAGCTACAATGAATAGCAGCAAACACATGGATGGCGGAATGAGATGAAGAATTGTCGGTAGATTGGAGGCAGGGAGATCAGAAAGGCAGGTGGCTACAGAGCGCAATGCAACGCACAGTGCCGTCTGCAGTTTGTGGAAACAGTTTCAGGACACTAGATCCATGTCGTGAACATGGTCAAGCATGCTGCAAAACGAGAAATGAAGATTGTTATTTGGTACTTTCAGCGTGACGACATAACACTGCTACAAGTTCACAGCTATCAAGTGAACTATATACTGCCACTGGAACTTGAGTTCACGGTCTACGTTGCCCGATGGCTTCATGAGATAAGGCTGTGCCAAAAGAGCCACTGTTTGCTTCCAGTTTACTGCAGCACACAGCGCAACGGATTTAGCATGGCGGAAACAACATGCAACTTTAACCAGACTTTTGCGGTTGCATTTCAAAGATTACTCAAGATTCAGCCTGAACACTAACTCTTGACGTACCTGTATCTCGACAGCGCCTGGAACATGATACCATCTCTCCCTCATCAGGAAAAAGGATAATTATGGTGGTGGAGGTGCAGTTCATATTAATAGACGACAGCGCTCGACTACATAGGACTCAACTGGTGGAAGATTACCTAGAAAGTGAGGACAATCGTCATATGCATTGGTCAGCGAGATTTCCTGAACTTAACCCTGTACAGGACGTGTGGGAAGCACTTGGAACGGCAATTTCATCAGGCCATTCCTTCCCCCCCTCCGAGAACCCTTTCGCAGTTGAAAACCTCCCTTGCTGCAGGAGTGAGATCGACTGCGAACCAACTGCCTCCTCTCCAGTACGCCGCAACGCTGCGCAATATATAGGGCTGTGAGAGGGAGCCATATCTCACATTAGACTCATTTTCAATTCGATATCACAACGTGGATTTTGCACATCTCTGAAGTATGAGCTTTACTGGTAATCATGCATACATAAAATGACTTTTGACAGGTACAACTTTTTTTGTTATAAATGTACCAAATATTTATACCAGACGTAATTACCCCATACCAAATTTAATTAAAATTTATCCATTCGTTTTTCAGAAATTCGATGTAATGTGGAAATTCTGTTAATTTTGAGCAAGAGCGTATTTTCAATACTTCAGCTTCGAGCTTTTGTTGAATTAGCAATTTAACTGTCGAAATTTTAAATATAAAACTGCTTTTAGAAAACACAATAAGCATTTAAAATTTAAATTTTCCAGAAATATTTAAGTTTACATTATCTGATTTTTGATATAACATATACTGATGTATGATAAATTATGTAATCAAATTCTTGAATTTGATTTATTAATACATAGAAATAAATTTAATGCACAGTTACTGTTAGTAATATTCCTTTGTGTGTTATTTAAAATCAAACCTTTATACACTGAAAGGTATGTCCTAAATTTATAATAGTTATTGTAAGTTTATTCATCTTTCCTATTTCTTCTAGCTTCAGTTTACAATTCCTTACCAGAAAGAGTTTTTAGAATCGCGTTAAATGCAAATCAGAAGCAGAGTAGTACCTAAGTCGAAGTTCCACTGACATTAACGATAGAAATAGACAGAGAGAAATAGATTTCCGGGATAGCGAGCGTTTGCCTTTTGGCTACGTCTCTCTAAGCAGCTACTACGCTCGGCCGTACTACGTGTCCTTGATAGATTCGCTAGCTAATTGAATATTACGGAGCTAACTAGCTTGTGTTAGCTTCGGATAAATCTCTTTAGTTAGTTATTATTTCTTATTTCTTACACTTTTGAGTTTCTTACACTTTTTAGGCTTTGTTGTACGCCCTGAGAAAGGGTGATTTGCTAATCTTAATTTTTAGCAATAAAGTGTAATTAACCCTTAATGAGTTTACGTTTCTGTTGTTAAACTTAAGCGATTATTCGCATAGATGTTCACTAGGTTCCTTAGTTAATAAATAAAAGTGAGGATCAATATAACATATAAAAATTTTTAATATAATATTTGAGAAAGTAGAGTTTATAGGATTTTTAACCCAAAAGACGATAGCTAACAAGGCCTATTAATTTCGTTTTGGTATTTTATGGCGTTCACTATAAACGGTGTTTTATTTTTTTAAATTGTTGCCACCAAATATTATAGCCTTGCATTATATTTAAATAAATTAAATAATGAAGAATCTACGTGAATGTATGTTTTTCCCACAGTGACAAAACAGCGATACCTACAGACATCAAGTTCTGAATAACGTAGTTCTCCATTCGAATATGGGCATCTCGAAATCCAAATTTGGAGTTTGGAATTTGTTTTATTATCTCTTTCATATTTTGTAAATTTGAACGAACTTTTCATTAACAAACTCAACGATTTCAAAGCGAGCAATGGCAACACTGTACGGAAAAAAAAAAAAAAAAAAAATCTCCAGCGCGGGAGACTGTGTATCGGAAATTCTAAAGATATGCTCTTTTTAAATTACTTTGTAATATTTCTGTTCAATTTTATGGGTTCAGTGCGAAGAACTCGATGTTTAATAAATAAAGGTAACATACAAAATGTTAACTAAACGTTCCTTTGGGCGTACATTGACCAAGGCCTTTAGACTAATAAGTTTAGGCTCTTCCCAATGCTAGTATCACTTAGTTATAGAAGTGGGGAAAATAAAAACGCAAAAGGGAGTAAGAAGAAGGATTTTTTTCGCTTTCAGATTAGAGGAGTCAATGACGTCATACAACAGGGAACCTTATAGTATGGTAACATTGCTGGAAGAAGCAACAAATTTTTATCTTGGGCTCACTTTGACATTCAGTGATTCAGGGTCACGGGTACAAACAGGAACTAAATTATATTTATAATATAAACCAGTAGAATTAAAGCTACAAAAATAAATAATTAATCGTAATATCCTAATATCTGAAGGAAGGAATTTCTGTAAAATACGAATTCCGATATTAATCGAACTGCTGGTATTAATCAAAAGTATAAAAAGATGCTTATTTAATGAAATTATAAAATTTTTTATCACTTTTTTTTTAGCTCTTTCAATCCTTACTTGTCGATTATCATGCATAGGGAATATATTTGTTAAAATACCCCACGAAGTCAAAATTTAAATATTTTATTGTTTTTTAGGTCCTCAATACAAAAATATATTTCTTACATGCAATAATCTGTTTACTTCTAAGTTCTTTGAATTTCATTCTAATTATAATCATGATTGAATATTACACTTACTCAGTAGCGTAGAAGCATTAACGATAGTTCCATTAACTTTCCACGTAGTTATACCAGGAGTACCTGAAATAAAGAAAAGAAAACATTTAAGATAAAATAATAAAATTTATTTATATTTATACAAATTAATATACGTACATATATCTTAAATATATCAACAATGCTGTTTATATATTCTCACACTAAGGCATAAAACTTGTGGAAATGAATTTCTTTTAAGTTGGACTTACGTTTAACATAAAACGTAGGTTAATTAAATTGCATATTATGCATGAAAAATATAAGAGGTATGGGGAATTTAGTCTGAAAATTGAAAATATCATTAAAAATTCCTGCTATGTGAGAAATACTAAGGAGAACATACAACTGAGTTTGAAAATTTGTTTGCCAAGAATATATGACTTAAAATATTATTTTCAAAATACGATTTAATTTCTATTCCTGAGTACTGGTGTAATTTTATTTTACTTTCTCATTAATACAACAGCTTAGTTTATAAAATTTAAGTAGTGGATTGTAGTATTATCGCATGCCTCGGAAATGCTAAAGAATAAGAGTGACATTATTTGTGCAATATAGTGAATAGAATATTTCATCTGATGCTATCATTATTTTTACGAATGCAAAGATCCGTATAAAAACGTCGGAGTCATTAAATATGCATAACATGTAATATTTACTACTGTAATACATTTTCATTATTTTCTCTAGTTCTCATTATTTTCCATCCAACTTCTTAAAAATAACAATCTTTTCTTAATATTTTACCAAATAATTTTGCGAATAACGTTTATTTTAATTAAAAACAAAACTAAACGTTTACAATACACAACTTTCTATATACTCATTATAACCATCACTAAGCTTGCAGGAAAAACTAATATATATACTAAGCGATATAGTAACGTTATATTGGGATAGTGACACCTCAAAAATTTCCATCAATTAACTGTTTGATATCTGACCCAAATGGTGATATATTTTAGAAATTAAAATACACGGAAAGAATTGATGAAAAAGAATGATGTATGTGTATCTGAAATCCCTGTGTTTATTGCATAGTGACTGACATAACTTAAAAGAACAACTCAATATTTTCCCTCGGAAAGACTGGTATGGAATGGTTTTAACCCCTTTAGAATTTGAGTGCCAAATTACAGAGATGATAGGTCTAGGTTGCACCAGTGATGCTTTCGATCATATAGTTTGAGTAATATTAACCAAAACAAAATCAAAGCTAAAGGGAATAGTTAAATAATAATATCATAATAACTGAATCCTTAGTTGAGATATTTTTCAGTTCTTTCCAGCTATGCAAACCGCAGTGAAATAAACACATTAATTTTTGATGGAGGTGTTTTCTTTTTTATCTCCCGTAACCCCTGTATTTCTATAGATTTTTCTAATCAACTCAGTTTTTAAATGCTTCACTCGTTTAAAGAAGCAGACTAAAAACAAGCATAATATTCAAAATGTGAACTTTATCTCATCAATTTGCTCCAGAAAGGAATTTTTGTAGTAAACGTCTCTAATGCCCTTTCGAAATTGAATCCTTATCGGTATACTCTACTAATTTTATTTCATATATTGTTAAGTAAAGTAAATAAATCAAGCTGTCTTCTACACATCTCCTTGAGAGGATTATTTTCGGATATGTTCTCGTAATGCATGAAAAGTATTAATTTTAATATTAAATTATGATAATATTGAATTCATAATATTAAATTATGATAAGCATGGTTCAAAAGGCAAGTGATATTGTCTACGTTTCAATAAATAATATGTTTGCTTTATTGCTATAGATACGAAGCAAAAAATATTTTGCTTTACTGCTTTAAATACGAATAAAAATAGCCTGATTTAACAAAAAATTATACCTATGAATCTAGCTATGGATTACTGAACTATATATTTTTTGTCCTTTAGATACTGCTCCTGTTTTAATAAACACGTTTCTCTGCTTTTAAACTGGATTGAATGTTGATTTAGATAGAAATACCGTTGAACCACACATATAAAAATTTAGATGCGGCATTTAGATTCATTGCGGAACTTTATTAGATACGTCACGACATTATTATCTATTGAACAGACATGTTTCATAAATATTAACAGAATTAAAAAGTTAATTAGATATATGAATTGTAATTTTGATTATCTAACAGCATGATAACTATTTCAATTCCCGTACGTATCTTTTCCACTTTGCTTTTTATAACTACCAACAGTGGGACTGCCGTGAATACATCACTTTACATCTGCTAGAGTTACGTGAACCTTATCAAGATAGAATTCTGTGCACAAATGCAAATTTGAGCATAATAGTGAATATTTTAGACACTCTGCCTAGCATCATTGCGCAGAGGAACGCTTTCAGTACTTTACTGTTATGAAAATATTAAGCAAATCCATTAGATCAAAATTTAGCTTTATATCTATCTATCTGTATATATATATATGTGTGTGTGTGTGTGTGTGTGTATGTGTGTAATATATACAAATTTTAGAAGTACTGATCTAGAAACACTGGGAAGAAACGCCGACATTCTGATGACGAAGCACATAGATAGCATAATGAAGAGGAATAATTTAGATTCCGTAGACTGCTAATCCATAATGAATAGAAACTTGGCAGTCGAGGCAGATTAAGTTCCATTTTCATTTAAATTCACATTTGCGGCCACATTTCACTTGCCACTCTAATCGTGCCTACTTCCAGAAGTTTTACATTTGTGAATATTGTTGTGATAGGAAGAGACCACAGAGAAATGACATCCAAGCAGCAACAGAGATACAAGCAAAGTGCGCATTTATCCAATATGGCAGTTTGTTAAGAGAAAGGACTTGGTTTAAGTTAGAAAAGTTTCAGTTCTCAGAGTTCAGATTCCGAATTAATTATGTCATCAGCGTAACGCAAGCTATTCGGTGTAGATTAATCTAGATGGCGCAGTCCAGAAATGGTATTATTCTTAGAATAGAACAACGAAATACACAAACTAAAAGTGACGAATTAATACAGTAAAATTATACAGCTAACTATAAGCTTCCTATACTATAAGGAATATAGATACCATAATTATGCTATCTATATTCCTTATAGGACATGAAATATACTCTATATCCTGATTAAAATATAATATAATATTATCTTGTTAATAAAACTTTTTAATAATTTTTGGAAGCTTAAAAATTAATGTAAAGTAAGAGGAAACAGTCATAAGACAGAGGAACTAGGGAATACAGGAAATACGTCAGAGAAGGCATATAAAATCAGGATGGCTAATTTTGTACGCATATAATAATGACTCTTCATAATTACAAGGATAATTAAGACTGCTTGTTAGCATCATATATGATAGCAACAAACGAGCTTATGCAAGCAATTTACGAAATTAAAAACAAAACGCCTCAAGCTCACTTGAAACCTTTCCTTTCAATGTTTCAGCTACATTATATAAAATATTACTATTCATTCAAGAAATTGAACACATTTGACGTAAGGAAAACGTAATAAGTAGGAAATAATAATTACTGCAAATGAAAGTAATTGAATGCAAGCACAAATTAAATCGCTAATAAATGATATTTTGACAGGGAGTTACAAAATTTTATTTACATAGTACTGCATGTCTTACTATTTATGCTTAAAATAGTTTTAATCAAATAGTAAAAGTACTGAAACGTGATATTCAAAAATAATTCGAATTCAAGTTTTAATGAGCAAGCTTGTTATACTGGAATTTCTGCTACGCATTTATATTTCTCAATAAAAAAGAATCCGATAACTGTGATTTATTAAAAAATTTCTTTCGGAAACAGATGAATTTTTTTTCAATATTTTAATTCCTCGATTTTTTCTAATTAAAAAAATATATTTATTTCAAAACTCCAAATCTTAAAATTAAGTGCGATATGTTGAGATATTAAATTAGACAATTCCTAAAAGCTTCAGAAAATTGTGTTACAATTCTTTTTGCAAAAATATTAGATACCTGTACTTATTACAGATGTATAAAAAGACTAAGATTTATTTCCCAAATTATTTATTTACAAAATTTTTCTTACATTTTAGAAAAACAGCATCGTATATTTTGCTAGCAAAATTTCAGTCTTTATCACCGCACGACAAAACGAACCAACTGCATCATTATTCTCACAGACAGTTTTAAATGCTGATTCTGAACTTTTTATCAATGTTTTATCAATGCTTTTTATCATCACTTGAAATAAAATAAGTAATTTCCAAGCAGCTAATAATGCAAAACGCCTGGCTTAACAATCGTAGCTTAACAGTATAGAAGTAAAATAATGCCCGACAGATAACCAGTTTATATCAGGATTTCTCCATGTGAGTGGTCAGACATCCGAAAACAATATTAGGGAAAGCTGATATTAACAGCAAAATATGAGCTTTTGACCCTTGCTGTTCAGGTTTAGCCACCAGTAACTATCTTCTGAAATGTTCTTTATTTTAAATAATTTTGTTTAATTGCCAAAAGCAGCAATTTAACTTTGAAATTTGTTGGTAATTTATGAAAATCAGTAAACAGACAGAATATAAAAATAGCGCATGTATATTTTGTATATGTGTGCATTCAAAATGAATGTACAACAGTGCATGCATATCATATATATATGTGTGTAGTATATTCAGGAGCAGAAGGAGGAATTTTGATGCGTAGAAGTGTTAATACATAATGACTAGGAAATTGGAGGCGAATGCAGATTAATTCTTCAGTTTTATTTTCAGTAACATGTAGCGGCTACACACAAGTCGCCCCAGTAAATGTGCCTGTTCCAAAAGGCTTACATTTTTGATATCTTTCTTGATAATAAATCAAAATCTCGAAAAACGGAACGATAAAAAAAATGCCGTATAAATATTTGAACGTTAAACCTATTTTCTCCGTGTAGCGAAATAAACTGGTAAAACACAAATTTAAAAAAATTACAAAAGAGTAATAAAAGAATGTTCGTTTTAAAGAGGATAAAGTATATAAAAAACCTGAAAGGTTTCAGATTTTAAATTACGTCCAAGGGGGCGTTTTTTTTAACGTTTTATGTGTTACCTTTATTTATTAAATACCGTGTTCTTTGCACTTAAAATTCAGTTCAATAGCAATGTCGCAAAAGAATTTTAAAATGAGCATATCTTTAGAATTTCCGATACACAGTTCCGTGGCCGCTGAAGATAAAAAGGTTTTTTTTCCCTGCCGTAGAGTGTTGCCATTGCTCGCTTTTAAATCGTGAGTTTGTTACTAAAAAATTCGTAACGTTTTACAAAATATGAAATCGGTAATAAAACAATTCCAAATTTCAAATTTGGTCTCTACTGCCCATATTCGTAGGAGGATTACGTCATTCATAATGATTGGCTCTAGGTACGTTTTTATCACAGCGAAAAATAGACATGCACTATGCAGATTTTTCATTATTTAATTTCTTTAAATATAATGCAAGACTCTAACATTTGGTGGCAACAGTTTGAAAAGTGAAACGGACATTTATAGTGATTCAACGCAAAATCGCAAAAGGAAAACAATTGTCCTTCAGGGACAAAGCCCCTTTGAACTAAAAAGGAAAAGTTGTACATATTATTAAAACCAAAACAATATTTTTTTTAATCTTTGGGAAATGCTTCAAACAGAAATTGTCAAGGAAAAAGCGTTTAAAGCCTTCAACCAAGTTGTTTAATGAGTGATGAATTCTCTGAGACATTAAACCACTTTAAATTAATCTAACGTTCTTTACAAGCATAATTTAATTTAAAAGTCTCATAAAATCCATTTTTTCCCTAGATGTCTTTGCACTCCAATAGTGCAAAAAATGATATCCAATTGCAAAACATTATATAAAAAGACATAAAAAGGCTAAAGATGAATCAATTACTATACAAAAATATAAAAAAAAAATCAATAATATATCATTTTTTCTACTATTGGAGTGCAAAAACATCTAGAGAAAAGAAATGGATTTTATGACACTTCTAAATTAAGAAGACATAATAACAAGACAATTAAATTAACAAATTAACTTTCCCTTGACAAGTTTTGTTTGAAGCGTTAAAAAAAAAAGAAAATTTAAAAAAATTGTTTTGGTTTTAATATGTACAAATTTCCTGTTTTTTTATATTTTGTCCTCTTTGAAATAAACATTTTTTGATTACTATTTTGTAATTTTCTTTAATTTTCTTTTTACCAGTTTATTTTGTTACACCGAAAAAATAGGTTTAACCTTCAAATATTTAATACGCCTTTTCTTTTATTCTTTGTTACGTTTTTCGAGATTTGATTTATTACACACACATACATACACACACACACACACACACATATATATATATACATTCAAAATAAATGCGCATGAAGTTGGTGAACTGCAATTATTGTTACAAAATTCACAGCAAAAAATTATAGCGAATGTTTTTCTCAGGTAAGACATTAAAATTTAACTTGCCACATATTTAATACTGGAGCCTTCAATAAATAATACAATAAATTCAATACTTCAATAAATTCTAGCAAAGAATATAGCCAATCGTCTTGACTGACATTTAGTAGTTCTAGTGTTTGTAACAAAGCAGATCTTAATGATAAGGCAATCCTTTGAAAAGATAACTTATATTAATCTGTATTCAAATGAGAATCATCCAACTGAAAAACTGAATAAAGAATATTTTAACAACTTTTACATACTGATAATCAAGATAATTTTGGCTGCATTATTGCGTGGAATCTCTGTTACAGGAAACCTTATTATTAACATTCGTATTAGATATGCAATGTTGACCAACAATTCATTTGTAAAACCCATGTTGACCATAATGCTTCCAGATACGAGTCATTGAAAAGAGTTGTAATCAGTTTTAAGAACAACTTTAGTTTATTTCTGAAATATAATCAAGCCTTTCCAGCATCCCTCATTTTCAGCTTCTAAGCATGGCACGTAAATGCTAGTTGTCAGCGAAAAATGTTACGAAAGGAAGATGTGAAGAGCGTTGTGATCAAATATGCCACCTGGCTATTAAAGACAAACATTTTGCTTGTATAAATGAGACAGAGGTAAAGTTTGGTAAGGTCGAAGTTCAGTGATTTCTTTCTTGTTTTAATATTCTCGATGATAATGAAAGTTATCTAACAAATATTGTGACTGGCATCATTTTAAAGTGGCACTTCTAACACTAAAAGCCAATAAAACAAACTAATAAGCATTTTTAATGAACTCATTTATAAATTCTATTCATGAATCAATCTATTAATTTCGTAAAGGAATACAGGTGACAGATTATTTTCGCTGTTTCTTGTCGTGGAATAAAAAATATTAAGTCAACAAAATTTTCTTGATGCTTTTAAGGAGTTTTGCAAAGCGAAAATAACTGACAGTTTTCTGAGGCTAACGTGATTTATCCTTACATGAAAATTTAATCATCCCTCCTAGATATGAAGAACATAGTTGCTAGTTTTGATTATACATTCAAAGAAGAAACAAAAACATGTATTTTAAACATTTCATAAAAGAACATTAAGTCCTCTAAAGTTCATTCACTTTGGAGAACATTTGATCTTAAATAATAAAAATAATAACAGTTTTCGTACAGCAATATAACTAAATTTTTTACTTTAAATAAATTTAAACTCAAAAGGAATTCGCTTTTGGTTTTGAACATTTTAGCAAAATTTTACACAAATAGAAAAATATCAAAATATGATAAGTATATTTCCATTCAAGAAAAGAAACTTGCAATGTGAATAAAATTGAGAACTGGTACATGTTTAGGTGACACGAAATAGAACTCTTGGAGTGGACATATTTTGTGGTGTTAGAAACGTTACTCGAGCAAAAGCAAAAAATAAAACTTACTGAAAGCTATTATTAAGAAATATAAATAAAACTACTTTTCAAATATTTATTTATAAAACTGTAAACTGCTGATAAGCAACTTATAGTTATAAGACGAAAGGTAAATGAAAAAGATTTACGGTTTGTCGTTCGGCAATCTTTATTTATAGGCGGCAAAAACTGTAAATATGCTCTATATTATCGAATCGAATTTCAAGAACAGATTTAAAAGTTTGCCACTTTGCGAAGATTCGAGTTATGACTTTTACACAATACTTATTTTATACGAATTTAACAGAATATGCATACTTCTCTGCACATTCGTGGTTTAGGTGTAGTGTAGACGGTATTTCAAATTAAGATTAATTTTGTATTATCTACCTGAAATTAAAACTAATAACTACACTTTAAAATTTAAAAATGAACAATAATATTTAAATTTTTGCACAAATGGAATACTTATTTGAGAAAATAAATTAATGACATTGATTCATAAAAAATGCATAGTTTGTTCAGTGACATTTAAAAATACCATCTTCAGCGGGAAATTTATAAATTGATTCAGATAGCAATTTATGAAACTTCTACCACCACATCAGCGCGTGGCGGAACTGTGTCATCATTCAAATCAATATAATTGGAAAGGAATCACACAATAATGCTCCCTTCTTTAAATGAAATCAAACTACGTATTTAAATAAGCTTCCTACCTGGTGTTCCGGCTTTCCCCGCCATACCTTTTCTTCCTCTGGGACCTGGTAATCCTGAAAAATAAGAGAAAAAGAATATGAAAATTTCGCCGGGAATCGTACTAGTTCGCATTGAGAAAGAAAAAGCATATCCCAGAAAAATTTCTCCAAAGTTCACATTAAACCGAAATTCTCCATGGACTGCTTGTGAGGATATTTTCCTGCAGGTTCTGTAGACACTTTCCCGGAAAGCCCTCAACTGTGCGCTCATTTTTCACATCACGAAAAGTTTTGATTCTCTTCGCCTCGTTTAATCTTTCGATACTGTTCGTCTATTCATCCTGTCTTCCCTCCCAACACTTTTTTTTATCATAAATAAACGATCGCCGTGGTTAATGGTTAAAATACGTAGACGAGCCGAAGTTCTAATCGTTTATCTTTCTCGGAAATGTTTCATTTGGAGTACCATTTAGAACGAGTTTACCGCTGAGACATGATCCTTTTCTCTAATCTTACCTTCCCGTTTCAAGACAATATTTTTAATCATTACGAGATTTAAAATGTCAGCAGTAAATATCCTTTTCAGACACTCTGATTAATCCTTGGCAGAGACTAATTTTCGAGAGCATATTTCATTGCATTTAAAGGTAATGAAATTTATATTCATGGAATAATGATTTCTTTTGCATCCGTACCTTACATTTGAACTTTTTATGGACAAGTATCAGAATCTTACGCTAAAATAATTTTTAAAAAGTATAAAATAAACTACTTTTATTTAAAAGTCGTAAAATATTCAATGAACTAAAAGCAGAACAAAAATTTATTATTAATTAATGTAATCCAATGAGAGGAAGGGTATTAATAGTTCTCCTAACGAAATTTATTTGCAGTTTTATATCACGAATAATAAAAGGGTGGAGAGTTAAGAAATTTGTAAAAATAATAGCTTCCATTTTTGACAATGCAATTCGAATAATAGATTTCATTATTTATTTATTACTTCATTATTGCTTTTATTATTTCTGATATAAAACTCCAGATGAATTTTCTAAAGACAATTATTTAATTTCTTGCTCCCATTAAACTATGAGATATTTTTTTTTTGCTTTTAGTACATTGATTATTTTATGAGATTTAAATAAATAAATAATTAATGTAAAATATGAAAGCTTTCAGATTTTTATTTTTATTCCAAAGGGACAATTTGTCCTGAAGAACTATTAATTTCGTTTTGCCATTTTGCTTTGGTTCACTATGAATGTCGGTTCACTTTTTAAATTGTTGCCACCAAATATTATCGCCCTGTATTATATTTTAAGAAATTAAATAATGGAAATTCTCCATAAATGTATGCATGTTTCTCCCATTGGGATAAAACACCGGTACCTAGAGACATCAAATTCTGAATAATGTAATCTTCTACCGAACATGGTCATCTGGAAGTCCAAATTTGGAATTCGAAATTAGTTTGATTATCGGTTTCCTACTTTGTAACACTCTGACGAATTTTTGCTTATCAAAATCAACAACTCCAAAGCAAACAATGGAAACATTGTGAAAAAAAAAAAAAAAATTATCTCCAGCGCGCGAGACTCTGTACAGGAAATTCTAAAGCTTTGCTCATTTAAAAATTATTTTATGATATTGCTGTTGAATTGAATTTTATGGTTTAAGTGCAAAAAACATGATATTTAATAAATAAAGGTAACACACAAAACGTTAAAGAAACGTAAATCTAAAAGCTTTCAAATTTTGATTTATTTTTTGAAAAGTTTTAATATTTTTAGAATTTTTATCATTGTGTTAATGCCAGAATATCATTCAAATTATTCAACTGAAATATCATTTTTTTACTTCCAACAATTATTTAGCGTCAAATGATCGAAAATATCAAGAAGGTTTACCAAAAAATTATAATTTACGTTAAAACTCTCATGTTAACTTCATTTTAAAATATTTTTTCTGCTGTATCTTCTGCTGTATATGTATCTATTATTTCTGCTGTTATCTGCTTTATAGTAAAATTCTGAGATTTTTAGGTCGTTCGTTAAACAAAGGTATGTGCAAAAATAGTATTAAAATTTAACTATTAAAAAAATTCCATATTTTCGAAAAAATAGGTTCACTATAACTATAATTTTAAAAATATTTTTCCGCTCCATCCGATGGTGCAAAAAATAAAATTATGCAATTTTTAGTTTGTTTTTTAAACGAAAATATATGCGAAAACTCTTGTTAACGAGTTAATTAAAAATAATTGCATCCAATTTTGGAACGATTGATTATATTTTCGTTCATATACACTGTGTGTACAGAATTTATCAGGAAATAGTGATAGAAAGAAAAACTTTTGCTCATAGTGATAAACATCATGACTGAACTAAATAAAAGCATACAAGAAAAAGTGAACATTTTTAAAATGTGTTTATCGTACTCCGTTTAACAGAGAAATGTTACTTTGGAAGCATTGTCTTTACAAAAATGGATGACAATCATTCATCAGAAATCAATGTAACTTGTGAAACGTACAAAATAATAATTAAAAAAATTTCAGATCATTAGTTTTTAAGACAAGTGTTCGAGAAGTCTGTTACAAGTATGATAAACTCAAAATTAGATCAAATATTTCATTGTTTAAATAAATATTACAATAAATACTATTTACTAGAATTTGTGCATCAACCTAAGTATTAATACAAATGCAATAAAATAATGGAACTGCAATAATAATAACTATGAAATCGCAATAAATTAAAAAAAATATTAACATTCCTAAATAAAGAATAAAACTAAAACGTGTTTCGAAATAATTTATTAGTCCAAAGGGGCTTTGTCCCTGAAGGACTATTGTTTTCGTTTTGCGATTTTGCGTCGGACTCATAAACGTCGGTTCACTTTTCAAACTGTTGCCACAAAATGTTAGAGTCCTGCATTATATTTGAAGAAATTAAATAATCAAAAATCTGCATAAATGATTGTCTATTTCTCGCATTGTAATTAAAAAATGGTACATAGAGCCATCGAATTTTGAATGACGAAATCCTACTGCGAATATGGGCATCTGAAATCCCAAATTTGGAATTTGTTTTATTATAGATTTTATAATTAAGACACAATAACACGCCGAAACATGAGGCATATGTTAGAAAAAAGGAAACACAGAAGTCTTCTGTTGCTCAGCATTGTTGGTCCGAAAATCACACTTTCAATTTTCTGCTGCCAAAATTATTCAAAAAACATCTTCCATTGGAGAACTGGATTTTCTAGAGGCATTTCACATTCATAAAAATCTTTCTGTTCTAGTTAACGATCCTAATTCCAATCCAAATTGCCTTCGGCTTTTAGAGAAATTATGTTTTAGTTCTGGTTTCGCCAACAGATGGCGCCACTTGCTTATTCTTGTCCAGGCTTTCTTATCTTATCTAAACATTATTTCCTATCTTGTTCATTTGCGGTTTTGCAGCTGAAGATGATGGTTCGGTAAAACCATCGAAACTAGTCCTGTGAAAATTTTTTAAATATAACGCTGATTTTTGTTGCTTGACTTCTGAATTAGTATAGATTTTATATTTTGTAAAACTTTAACGAATTTTTGATTTACAAACTCAATGCTTTAAAAGCGAGAAATGGCAACGTTATATAGAAAAAAAATACTTTTATCTCCAGCTCGCGAGACTGTGTATATCGGAAATTCTAAAGATATGCTTAATTTAACATTATTTTGCGATATTGCTCTTGAACTGAATTTTATGGTTTAAGTGCAAAGAACATGATATTTAATAAATAAAGGTAACACTCAAAACGTTAAAAAAACGCCCCTTTGGACGTAATTTAAAATCTGAAACATTTCAGATTTTTTATTAGTCCAAAGGGGCTTTGTCCCTGAAGGACTATTGTTTTCGTTTTGCGATTTTGCGTCGGACTCATAAACGTCGGTTCACTTTTCAAACTGTTGCCACAAAATGTTAGAGTCCTGCACTGTATTTAAAGAAATTAAATAATGAAAAATCTGCATAAATGATTGTCTATTTCTCGCATTGTGATAAAACAATTGTACATAGAGCCATCGAATTTTGAATGACGAAATCCTACTACTGCGAATATGGGCATCTGAAATCCCAAATTTGGAATTTGTTTTATTATAGATTTTATATTTTGTAAAACGTTAACGAATTTTGATTTACAAACTCAATGCTTTAAAAGCGAGAAATGGCAACGTTATATAGAAAAAAAATACTTTTATCTCCAGCTCGCGAGACTGTGTATATCGGAAATTCTAAAGATATGCTTAATTTAACATTATTTTGCGATATTGCTCTTGAACTGAATTTTATCGTTTGAGTGCAAAGAACATGATATTTAATAAATAAAGGTAACACTCAAAACGTTAAAAAAACGCCCCTTTGGACGTAATTTAAAATCTGAAAAATTTCAGATTTTTTTTTAGTCCAAAGGGATTTGAATCCCGAAGGACTATTAGTTTCGTTTTGGCATTCTGCGTCGGACTCATAAATGTCGGTTCACTTTTCAAACTGTTGCCACAAAATGTTAGAGTCCGCTGCATTATATTTGAAGAAATTAAATAATGAAAATCTGCGCCAAAGTATGTAAAGAATAACGTATAGGGTGATTTCCTCAATGTTTTTTTTTACCACCAATCCTCGAATTCCATATCACAGATTATGTTCTTACTGCATTAATATAAATATTAACAAGACATAGTGCACAATAAAAATTAAGCTTTATTTAGGAACATTCGCGCACACTCCCCGACAGCCTGCCTGTTTCGCTCTGCTCGCTACTCGTAAGAAACTTTCTCCTCTAGGGTTGCCACACTTATCGGAGGGCGCAAGGCGCGCTCCTTATCGCCATCACCACAGAGTTTCCCCCCAGTTCCTTTAATGGCTATTCAAAGGAACGACATAGGTTATGAAATTATCTCAGAGTATCCGTACTGTCGGGTATTTTTTACATGATTACAAAATTAGAATATAAAATTAGAAAAGATCAAAATGCAATTCAATATATAACAAGGTATTGACACATATAATAAACATGAAATAACAAGA